CCATCGCTACTCGGTTTGAGGCCATATTTGGTTGGAGGCCATCGCTATCAGGTTCCTTTAGAGTTTATAGGTCTTTCCGACTCCAATCGCTCTGCGATTAGAGGTCTCGCTGAGGCTCTGGCTCGAACATCCATCGGGAGGCGAAGAGCAAACACCAGGCGAAGGCCATGGACAACGTCCCTGAGCCCACAAGGTTTTTCGCCCACTTAAGTACAGTAATGAGGTGAGCTCCTAGACTAAGTTAGCTTCTAGCCAAGATGCAGGATTGCTCACGCTTCCAATCATTTGGTTCCTAGGTTTTTAGGGAAACTTAACTAGGCTCGGTCTTCGCTACAAGGCTCACCAAGGGAAAAACAGACTCCAAGAGCTCTTGAAGTAAGAAAGAGAACGGAGAGGAGGTATCAAGTGCCAAAAAACTTCGAAGAAGCTAGACGGATCTATTTTAAAAGGTCGAAAGAAAAATGCATGAGCACCTTCTCGAAAGGACGAAAGCCAAAAAAACGAGAACGAAACGGACAAAGGTAGTTTCTCAGCCTGGCCTCGGAGGAGGTCGGCCAAGCGGCCTGTCCTCCCGCTGAAGACCACCACCACCGTGGCAACCTTATCGAGAAAGCGGACAATTAGCATTGCTCTTGTTACTTTCTGTTACTTTCTTTGAAACACCTTAAAAAACGGATGCGACTAGCAGTAATGCCCTTTGTTGCTAGTAGCGTCCTTGCTACTAGTAGTAATGCCAGGAGCGCCCCTAGTAGCACCCGGTCTAAGGGTTAAAAAAGAAAAACATGTTCAAGGTCTTTTTCTGTCCATTTTCTAAGGGTCGAAAGAAGCCAGGAAACAAACAGAAATGGAGTGGTCCTTGAGAGTGACAACAGCTACACTCGGCTCACAAACGGAAGATGCACCGTGTTTCACGGAAATTGCCTGAGTGTTTGCCTGTGGGCGTGTCTCTGGGTGGGCCAAACTTCTCATGGATCACAACTTAAAGAAAGAACAACAAGTGCATGTCTTGGTCCTTTATTGAAATGACACCAGTGCGAAACCAGTGCGGCCACCAACCCGCTTTACTTGTCTTTTCGTCCAAAGCCACCACGAAGAGCAAGGCTTCCCCGTAGACCGTGAGGATCGCCATAGTCCCAAAGTTCTGGCGACGAATCTGAAGTCCGCTAGAGTTGAACGAGAGGAATTCCATTCGTAGCGATGCACTTGTTACTAGTAGCTTCTTGTTACTACTTGTAAGGCACTTGTTACTAGTAGCGATGCACTTGTTACTAGTTTGAGAAGAAACATCAGAGGAATTCACTCCAAGACTCTTTAGACCTGTCTTTCCATTTTTTGCGTTAGACTCCCTTAGACCGTGGTTTCCTCTTTGTTCGGTCTTCGTTCTTTTTTGAACCCAAACAACACCAGTCGTCCACCAAGCTGGGAGACCAGGGAGTCTGAATTCCGAGAGAAAACCAACAAGAAAAGGTCCAAAGAGCAAAAGAAGGAAACTAGAAGGCACAAAAAAGACAATAAAGAGAACGGGAGAAAGCTACTAGGTTGGAGGCCATCGCTATTAGGTTGGAGGCCATGGCTACTAACTTGG